TGGAGCCCGGGGCGGGGCTAATGTGGGTGGCGCGGGCTTGTGCGGGCGGGGTTCGTCTCGGGTCCCTGCTACCCACTCTCTTGTCCCCCGCGGGCGAACCCCCAGGCCTGGTCTATCCCTGAGTCTCAAGCACGGCTCTCACGGGCTGGGATCCTGAGTGATGCGCTTTAGCAGTGTTGGACGTTTTGGGGAGACCTGGGTTTCTGCTTGTTCTTAATTCCTATCGTTCAGGCGGGCTTGTGCGGGCGGGGTTCGTCTCGGGTCCCTGCTACCCACTCTCTTGTCCCCCGCGGGCGAACCCCCAGGCCTGGTCTATCCCTGAGTCTCAAGCACGGCTCTCACGGGCTGGGATCCTGAGTGATGCGCTTTAGCAGTGTTGGACGTTTTGGGGAGACCTGGGTTTCTGCTTGTTCTTAATTCCTATCGTTCAGGGGGGCCAGGTGGGCTAGAGTCAGTATAAACAGTGGTGACACTGTGACCCTTGCTCAAGCCAGGTGGTGGCTTTGTTCCACCATTCTCTTCACTTTAGAATATATTTGAAATGCTCTTTACTAAGAAGTAAAACTAAAGAAAAAAAACAGTGGGCTTGAAGCAGAGGGGACTCGACACGCTATGACCCCACTATGTCTCCTCTGCTGGCTGCTGGCTGCTGGCTGCAACCTTGGGGGTCCCCGGGCGCCTTAAAGCTTCTAATGTCTGTGGAAGGAAGGAGTTACCCTCTGCCATGGTCCCTGCACACGGAGAGAGCTTTCAGCACCCTTAGAAAGGCTGCTTAGCGTTTAAACCAAAATACCTGCCTCCAGGACAATAGCTTTCACCTGGTGTTTTTTCATCAACGGTAGAGAAATCCTCTCTGGCCTGGGAGTCTGAACACCAAAGCAGCTGTTGTGTGTTGGGGAACGACCAGTGACACGACCAGGGCAGACAGGTACAGCTGATTAGGCTAGGGAACCTCTGGGCTGGGGAAACAGGGTGGGGGCCAGGTGGCCTGTTACACAGTTAGCTCTGCAGTTATGCTACAGAGTTGCTAATAGTTAGACACTTCCCTGAGGGCAGTGTGAGGGGCTGGGCTGGGTGGCCTAAGAACAAATGATGATGTACATGTCACCAAGCCCCTCTGTCTTTGGCAGGAATCCTTGTCCTCATTCTCCTGGCAAAAGTTCCTTCATTTGGAAAATCTGGCAAATCACATTATTCACCAAAGGACCTGCATCCAGAATATATAAAGAACCCTCAAAACAAAGCAGTTGGCATAGCAGGGAATGGGGTTATCTTAGGTGGCTCAAGTGTCCTAACCCTGGACTATGGTGACAATCATTCTAAAATGCATTGCATTGTACATGATAAAATTTTGAGTGAATTGTGATACACAATTTATATCTCAGTGCTTTTTAGAAAATTCAGCAAGAAGAAAACTACAACCCAGTTTTTAAAGTGAGCAAAGGTGGTAAAGATGCTTCACCAAAGATGACAGAAAGAAAAAGTGTTTAATGTCCCTTGCCATCAGGGAAACACAAACAAATGAAAACCAGCATGCTGGGCCCTGTCACACCCAGGACAGCTGAGATAAAACAAATGCTGTCAGTGTGGAGTGCACACAAGTTTGCAGAGCAATGGACTGCTCAGACTTCCAGACAGGATTGCCATGATAGAAACTGTCTACCCATCCTCTGACCGTGATCACATGCTGAGTGATTATACAGAGAAATGAATGTTTTTCCTTATACTTATCCTGTGTGTGAGTTTTTAGCTCTACTCACAATTGTCCCAAACTGGAAGCGGCCCACATGTGTCAGCACCCATGCGACAGACAGAGCACTGTCCAGAACACCAAATACCAAACTCTGGATTCCTTCAGCAACCTGGGCGAACCTGGTGAATCTGAAAGGCCCTGGGCTGAGGGAAGAATCCAGGCTCCAAAGGTTGCACACTGTAAGGTTCCACTAAGTGGCCATTTGGAAGACCTACATTGTAGGGACAGAGAGCAGAGAAGTCGTTGTCAGGACTTGGAGTGTGTGTGTGGGGGGGATGGAACAGTAGGGGAAGTCGTGGGTGATGGATCTCCCCTGGGTTCTGATGTGTTTGTGGTTAGTCTACACCTGTGTTAAATTCAGAGAATTATACATTAAGAAGTCAATTTTACTGTGTGATGTTTTAAAAAGAGAATTCTTTAAAATGTTCTTCATCCCACAATATTCTAAGTGCCTGTGACATGCCAGGCACTGGGGGAAAGATCGTGTGCAGGGGGAATCGAGTTGTATGGTGGAATAACAGACCTGAGCCAGCCTGCTGGAGAAGCAGGGAATGCCAGAGCTTTAAGGACTCAGAGGCATCCACTCCCTCCAGGTTAGGGTGGGGACAGAGGAGCAGAGCTTAAAGGACGAGAAGGAGCCATCTGTTCTTTCAGCACACATTTATTTTGCACCTGCTATGTGCCAGGCTCTGTCCCAGGCCCCTGCTCTCTGAAGCAGTCTAGGAGTGAGATGTGGGTGATAAGGGAACCACCAGACAAGGACTGCTGGTACTGAGGGGCCTGAGGCTGTGACATGGTCATGCGAGAGGCTACTTTATGATGGGAGATCAGGGAAGACCTCTAGAAGAAGATGACATTGGAGCAGAGGACCACAGGAACAAGCCCTGACCAACACAGATGTGGCAGACAGTATGGCTAACACAGATGTGGGGAGGAGGTTGGGGAGCAGGAACAGTAGGTGCAAAGGCCCTGAGCCAGGGAGGAGCTGGAACAGTGCACAGGGCTGGAAGGCAGGCAGAGAGCTCAGGGAACACAGGTGGAGGAAGGCACCCATGGGGGGTGGATGAAGGGAGAGGCCCGGCACATAGTAGGATGCTGCTGGATGTTCATCTTAATCCAAGTCTGGCATGGGAGGAATTCACCTGTCTGAAGCCCTACCCCCACCCCATCAGGGCTCCCTCTAAGGCATTTGGAGAGGACAGTGCAGGTTCCCATCCTGCACCTCTCGAGGCTGTGGCTGGTTGATGGGGTCAATTGCTGATGGTCCTATATCAGTTTAGCTCATCAGCTATGACCCAGGAGGGAGCAGAACTCTGCCCACTGGGCAGCACATGTCATCCCGCCCAGGGGACCCCGGGGGCCCAGGACATGCTGGGAGGCACCCTAGGGCCCCTCAGAAGGTGTGTGGGTCTGGAAGAGAGGAGGCAGGAAGAGCCCCACGGTGCCCAAGATGCACACAATCACGAACACCCACAGGAACAGCCGGTCCACCACCATGGCCACATACTTCCAGTCCTCAGTGACCTGTGGGCAGACAGAGGGGCTGGTTACAGGTGCCACACTCGGGTCCTTCCTTCCCTGACTTGGCCCTTGGCATTTGGGCAGGGCCCCTGGAGGCTACTGTGCGCCAGTGTGGTGAATTCTGAGTCTCAGGCTGGCCTCAGCTGGCAACTCTGTGGCACTCTATGCTCCACCCGAAAGCCACCAGGAGCTAGAGCTGTACAGAAAAATTAGGACTGGAAGGGGTCATGAACCTGTAGTCCTTCAGATCCTGTGGGTCCCCAAATCCAAGGATTCTTGGGTCCCTCACACAGCAGGTGGTACCATGAGCATACAACCTGTGTATCCTCATGCTTACTCTGAACCCCTCTACTTATGATACCCAGTGTACCATAGATGCTGACGAAATAGTTGTTATGCTGCATTTGTAGGGAATAACAAGAATCTTCACATATCTAATACAGACTTTTTTTCTGAATATTTTTGACACACAGTTTAATCCACGGATATAGAACCTGCTGATAGAGGACCTGCTTACACCACAGATCAAGTGATTCAAAAACCCAATGTGGCTATAAAGAAAGCTGAGGCCTGAGGAGCACAAGGCCCCTTCCTCCAAGTTTTGGCCCCAACTGGCTCTATGCAGAGGAAGATGTAAGCCCCCCCCACCCCGCTGCCTACTTTATTAGGCCAGGCACTGGGTGCTTGCTAGAGATGATGCTCTTTAATTTGTCCAATTCCATTCACAGCAGTGCCTGCTATTTCCTATAATTAAGACTCAGCTTCCTCCAGCCTCATCATCTGGCTCCCTCTGTGTCTGCCCCCCTCCCCCATCTTCTCAGGCCCTTCCATGGGGTGTGACATTATTGGGGACCCGGGTGGCTCGCAGAGGTGTCACTGCAGATGTGCCTGCATCCTTGGCCCTGGGGGGGCAGTGCTCAGCATCCTGAGCTCCCCCACCCCGGCCTAGAAGGCTCCCGAGCAGTTCTGGAGCAGGAAGAGTGGGCAGCATTGGGCAGGCTGACACCAGTGACCCAATTTGTCAGGGTCCCCTCGATGGTGTGTCTACCGTACAGGAGAATCGTGTGTCAAACCAGCCCCCACCACCCCACCAAACATGCTAGGCACCCATCCCTGAGACGCAGCTGCACCTCAAAGCGCTCCCCTGGATTGCAACTGGCCTGCTTGGGTCTCTTGTTGACATCCCCAATTCCAAATGGCTCATGTGTGTGGTTTTCCCCTCTTTTTATATTTCCATGCTATTTAAGGTAACTGGGTAATCACTGGGAGGAGGAAGGTGTTGGAGATAAGGAGCAATGCCAGATTCTGAGTGGGGCGGAGGAGACGTAGGACTGGACAGACTTCTGTAAGGACACAGAGGATGTCAGCCAACCAGTGTGCTCAGTGCTGGGCTGGCCCAGGAGAGACTAACAATGGCAGGAATATCCAGGGACAGAGCCTGGCTTTGCCCGGTGCCAGCTGTGTGACTTTAGTAAATCAGGAAATATATCTGAAACACACTTTTCCCACCATAAAATGGGGCTCCTGGGAGGTTAGAAGTGAGGTACATCTACTCCCAGCAGAGCACCTGGTGCAAGTTTGGAGTTATATGGCTGCTGCTGGACTCACAGTCGGGGTCCTGCAGGGCTCCTTGCCCAGAGGCTAACATGAAATGAGCTTGGAGCAGCCAGAGGCTGTGAGTGCCAAGGGCTGGCAAGGCCTCTAAAAGAGAGCACTAAGCCAGGGTGCGGGGCCAGCACCTCTCAGCCTGGCACTGCCAGGGATCCAGTTAGAAACACAGCTCCTAGGTGCCTTTGCCCCAGTGGGCTGCCTTGAATCTTATTCTATGGTTCTGAGTTAGCTGGCAGGGCCCCAGAATGCCCAATAATGGATTAGGGGATATTAAAGTCCTGGATGATTTTCCCTAAAAAATAGCAATCCAGCAATCTAGGAGGCTGAGGCAGGAGGAGCACAAGTTGAAACCTAGTCTGGGCAATTTAATATGAGACCCTGTCTCAAAAAGAAATTAAGAAGAGCTGGAGATATAGCTCAGTGAAAAGGCCCTGGGTTCAATCCCCGGTACAAAAAGAAAAAGAATAGCACAACCAAATTGACTTTTTAGAAGGTGAAATCCTGCAAAGCTGCTCAACTTGGAGTGTTCCCAGAGCTCCTGCTATCTGGAGTGGGCCTAGGACGGCTCCTTGGGTTCTGTCAGAGCTCTGGGGTGGGCCTGAAAGTTTAGGCTTCTAGCAAGCTGCCAGCAATGCAAAGGCTGCTGGCCTGAGGTCTACACCCTGAGCGGTGGAGGTGTGGATGAAAACCTCATGCCCTAGATTCCTTCTGTTCACAGCTCTTCACTCTCTTCTCAGTATGACACAGAGCTTTTCTGGCCTGTGCTTTTCCAGCCGTGCTAACTAATGGACCTCCAGGGCTTTCCCTCGAGAATACAGCTAGAGAAGGAACTACAGAAAAACAGGAAATATCCTCTTTTCTCCATGCAGCTTGGCAGAGGGGTGGGGCAGCATGCTGTGCTGTAAAACTCTGTGCAGAGGATCTGAGCCAGTCTGTACAGAAGCGAGAACACACACGAGTCCAGCACTTTTCTGCCTCCTGGGATGAAAATAAGTGCGAAAATTCCCAACCGTGACCATCTTGTCCTGTGTTCAGGTGTAAAACTCCCCTGGACCTGTTACTTACTCATGGCTTTGTCCTGTGAGTGTGACCTAAACCTCATTTTAGGATCTTTAGTCACCCACTTGACCGTTTCTTAGTTGGTAGCAATATTTTACTTGATGGTCCTGAGTCCCTATGTGGCACCCACCCACCTGTACCCCAAAAGGGCTGCAGAGCCATCTTTTAGCCCATGAAAGTCCGCTCAGGGCCTGAATCTCCTCTCCTCTCTCACTGCCCCAGGGCTTTCTCCAGCACCCAGGCTGCCTGCTCTGGCCAGATGGGAAAGCCAGGGCACACAGGGACACTAACTTCCCCAGCTACACAGTCAGTACGTGGGGATGGGCGCTGGTAGGTAAGTACCCATGGTCCCTCCCGCGGGTGTGATGCTGGCGTCCTACTGAGCTTCTACAGTGCTTTTCCTCCATGTTGCACTGTGCACCCCAGGGTCACCTCTCAAACTACTTGCCCCTGAACCCTGTCTCAAGTTTGCTTTGGGGGAACCCAGAACAAACACAAAAAGACCATCGCTACTTCTTTCTTCTTCCTCTTGCACATTTCAGCTGTGGGTTCCTTGCGGGATGAATGGAATCGGTGCCCATGAACTAACTGCAGAAAACAGGAAACTTACTGTCTCAGCCCCTTCCCCAGCAGGAGGGTGGGGTTGCGCTTTCCACTTACACTCTGGTCCTCATCGTCGCTCTTCATGTGCTGGGCAATGAAGCTGACCCCCTCTAGCGCCTCCTGCACGTCCTGCCCGAACCTCCTGGAGGACCTCGGCCGGAAATCCCTGGAGACACCTTCGGCGTGGGTGCCGGACAGGGATTTGGGTGCCGCAGAGGCACGGTTCACAAGGTACATGGAGTTGCTGTAGAAGCTGGCAGAGCCGGCAGCGGCCTCGGTGTTAGTCGGGGGCTGCTGCCCGGGCTGGGGGGCCCCCGCCAGGCTGCCGTCCAGGCCGAGGCGCCTCATGAAGAGGAAGGTAGGCAGCTTGTGCAGGAAGCAACGCTTGACCCAGGGCGCCATGGTGTGCGTGCTGGGCGAGCGGTGGTGCACGTTGAGCACGCACACAGTGGTGACGATAGAGAAGGTGACCAGCACCATGGTGAACATGAGGTACTTGCCGATGAGCGGCACGTCCAGCGAGGTGGGCGGCACGATCTTGGAGATGAGCAGCAGGAAGAAGGTGAGGGCCAGCAGCACAGAGATGCAGAGGGTCATCTTCTCGCCGCAGTCGGAGGGCAGGTAGAAGACGAGGATGGCCAACGAGGTGATGAGCACGCAGGGCACGATGAGGTTGATGGTATAGAAGAGCGGCTTGCGCCGGATGATGAAGTCATAGGTGATGTCCACGTAGCTGGGGTCCAGGGGGTCCACCATCCTCCGCCCAGGGAGGGCCACGATGTCCCACTCGCCGCTGGGCGTGAAGTCGTCCATTCTGGCCGTGGGAGACATCAGGACCATGTCGATCTCCGTGTGGTCGTAGGTCCAGGAGCGGAACTTGAGGGTGCAGTTCTGCTGGTCGAAGGGGAAGTGCCTCACCTCGATCTTGCAGGCGCTCTTGAAGATGGCAGGGGGCAGCCACTCAATGCTACCATTGGAGCGGAGCACTACGTTGGCGTAGACGGACACTTCATAGATCCCGTCGGCACTGGGAGGGGACAGGGCATGGGGAGAGCCATGAGAAACCCCCCAAGGGTGTGCCCCACAGTGCCCCTGGGATCATTCCCACCAACCACCCAACCACATGCCCCTAACAAAGGGGCCTGCTTTGCTTGGTGGTCTGGCTGTAGAGATGGCCCTGCCACAGCAATCTAAGGGCTTCACAGGAAACAGCTTATTTAAGCCTCCCCAGAGTCCAGCTGTGTGTGTCTTATGATCCACAGTTTATAGACGGGAAAATTACTTCGTCAAGATCAGAAAATCAGTAAGCAATGCAGTTGAGATTTGAATTCAGGTCAGTCTATCCCTCATTTACATACTCATGTTTGTTTATTTGAGACACAATCTCACTGAATTGCCCAGGCTGAACCTCTGGGCTCAAGCAATCCTCCTGCCTCAGCCTCCTGAATAGCGAGGATCACAGGACTCATGCCAGCTTCATCTACATACCTTTAATCATTTCACGCTATTGTTGGTATTATTACATCACAGAAGAGTCTTCCTAGATCCTTCCACCTTCCTAAGTATTTTTTTTGAGATGGAACCAGGATATATTGCCCAGGCTGGTCTCAAGCAATTTTCCTGCCTCAGCCTGCTGAATAGCTGGGACATGCGGGTGCATGCCACCATATTCAGACTACCTCTTTGCACATGGTATGGCAGTGCTACCCAGCCCTGACTGAGGCTCAGAAGACAACAGAGGACAGGCAGAGCTGGGTTTACTGTCAGAGCTGCCCTGGTCCCAGCTGGGCCTGAAGATAGATGAACGAGGTTCCTCTCCTTGCTGGGTCTCCAACTTCCAGTTTCAGCTGAGCTTTGGCTCTGAGCTCTGCTCCTCTCCCAGCCTGATGCCCAAAACCATGAAGCACCAAAGAGGTACTGGGCTGGAAGGGGCCTTGGTGTCCCCTAGACGCAGGCCTGTGGCTATGGCACTGCCCAGACTCTGGCCCTGCAGCCACTCACTTGTTGTAGAGCACGATGTCTGGCAACCAGACGCGCTTGGCCGGGATCCTCAAGATGTTCACGCCCTCATAGTGGGAGCTGTTCCAGGCCAGGCGGTAGTCGGTCCAGCACTGAGCATACAGCAAGGCCGTTGTCACTTGTAGGTCCATCGCCACCCCAGGGTGGCCTGGAGGAGACGCCGCCTGGGCCAGGAAACCTGTGGGGCACTTACCTGCTTCAGCCAGACATTGGTGGTCATGATCTGCTCTCGCTCATTCTGGGGAAGGAGAGGAGGCAATGAGGAGCATCACAGATGGGCCAAGCTCTATCTTGGAAAGGCTCCTGGCCAGTGTGACCGGCTTCCACCCTAAGATCTCTTAGGCGGCTCAAAGACAATTCACACTCAGCAGATAGAGACGGAGCTCGTGGTCTTTCCCAGCTGCCTCACACTTGGCACTCTGCCACCCATGCAGCAAGCTGGAATCCTGGGAGTAGTCTCTGAGCGACTCATAAGTGCCACTGACTGATGTTCCACACACATTCAAATCTGTCTGCTTCACTCCCTCTTCACTGCCACCAACACCCGTCCCCTGGAACCCGAAGCCACATCCTAACTGGTCCTGGGTCTGACTTTAGCCATTTTCTACACAGCTGTCAGGGTAATCCCTGTAGAATCTCAGTGTGGACCACAGGGCTCTGCTCAAAACCTGCTGCTTCCCCAGCATATCCAAAGTGAAGTCAAGCCCAGGGTCTACCGGGCCCTGCTCACCTGCCCCACCTATGCCACGAGCTCCATGACAGCTTGCACCTCAACCCGCTCCTATGTGCTCTCCCACAGCAGCTACACCAGCCTCTGCTCCATCCCTGGAAACTCTGCACACAACTTCCTCCCTGCTTTCAAGAGTCAGAATCGTTCCCAAACCTCAACTTCCTGCCTAAAATAGCACCCCTCCTGCCCCTTATCCCACCTAGTCTGTCTTTCTAGCGACTGCTGCCACTAGACAGCATCTATCTTCTCGTGTATTGACACCACCTCCCATGAGAATCCAGCCTCCCACAAGAATCCAAAGCCCTTGAGCAAGGATGACAAGGTGAAGAGCACCTGGGACGTGTTCAACACCTAATGACCATGTTTAGGATGAATACAGGAGGCTGATGCTCACGGTGATCTCACCTGGGCCACACCAGACCTATATCCTGGCCTGTGTCCACTCTGCACACCATCACCACACACATACACACTACACACAAATCCACATGCATGTGCACACATGTGCACATATACTACACAAGGCACTCGTGGTACACATGCATTCACATGCCCAGGCACATATCTGCCTTTTCCTTTGCAGCCAGGATGGACTTTCCAACTACTCTGCCATTCCCCTCTCCACCTCAGCCTGTCTGGGTCACCTCCACACACAGTCTTGATGTGACTCCTCCTCAAATCCAAGCCAACTATAACATCCTGTCCCTCTACTCCAGCCTCACTTCACCTCCCTGTGCTCTCCTCCCCTCTGCTGCAGCCTGGACCTCCTTGCTCTCTGCATGCATCCCGCGCTCTTGGTCTGCACCCCTTCTCCTGCCTCCTCTCATCAAGGTCATGTGCAATGTCCCGACTTCAGCCTGGTGGACCCTTCTTCCAGGAACCTGTCCTGAGCTCTCAGCTAGATAAGGGCTTCACTAGGACAAATGTCAGCTGCCAAGAACAGAGCAGAGCATCGCAGACCTCAAGTAGAAGTCTGTATCCCTCTCATGTAGTATTTGGGACAGACATGGTGGTTCCACTCTGAGAAACCCACAGGTGCCAGGTTCCTTCCAGCTTCCTCCTCTCTCATACTTGGACTGAGGCCCTCATCTGATGGTCCAGAGTGGCTACTGAGGCTCCAACCACAGCATCCACATCCCAGATTACTGGGGTAAGGGCACTGTGTGTGTGTGTGTAGGGATGCATGCCAGTGATCTCACTTTGATTATTTAGGCCATTTACATTTAATGCAGCTACTGACCTACTGACTTACTGGTGGTCCCTGACTTAGAGTGGTTCAGCTTGTGATTTTTTTTCACTTTATGATGGGTTTATTCAGGTGGTAAAAACAACTTTGACTTAGTATCTCTGACTTACAACAGGTTTATGGAGACACAACCCCAACTCAGGTCAAGAAGCATCTGCATTTGGGTTTAAACCTACCACCTGTTGGTTTTCTGTGTACTATATTCTATTTTATCCACTTATTTTATTATTTCTTGTTTCATTGCTCCTCATATCAACATGCCTCTGGCTTTGGTAGTTGCTCTAGAGACTGCTGTACAAACACTGGACTTTTCAGAGCCCAATACAAATTAGTACTTTCACCACTTCCACAATAAGCAAGGACTATAGAATGGTCTAAATCCATCTATGCCTCCTGACTTTGGGGGCTAAGACATTTTTACTATTTTACAGGATCGATATCAGCATAATCCACCTATCCATTCACCTTCTTTGTGATCTTGTATCATTTCTTTTCTTTTCTTTTTTTTTTTTCTTTTGGTACCGGGGATTGAACTCGGGTCCTTGCACTTGCAAGGCAGGCCACCGAACCACTGAGCTAAATCCCCAGCCCCTCTTGGATCATTTCTTAATGGCAAAGAACCTTTAGCATTAGATCTTCTGGTGTTACCTGTTTTTTGTCTGAAAACAGCTTCTCTTCACCTTCATTTTTGAGAGACCTTCAAAATCCTTGTCTAATTCTAGATTTGCAGTTTTTTCTTATACCAGATTAAAAGCATCATTCAATTTTGTGACTTGAGCAGTGCAGATCTGGGGTGTACTTTCTGATGAGTTTAAGAGGTGTTACCATTGTAACTCAGCTCCTTTCAGGTGTGGAGCTTCTGCCCCCCAGAAGGTTGCCTGTGTCTTGACACTGTCCCTCACATTCCCACGTCCTGGACTGTGCCCTAGAAGCTGGGAGACCCTGCTCCCCACCCCAAGGCTCGCTTCAAAAGGCCTACATGTCTCACTCAGCACCAACTCCTTGCCTGTTTCCTAGAAACTTCTAACTTTAAACTGCTATACCTCTGACCCTCCCTCTTCAAAAAACAAATAAACCCTGGGGGGAAAAGACTCCCACCCTTAAGACAAAGACTTGCCTTATAGATGGGCTTTAGGGCAATATGCACAGGGGCAGGGTCAAAGCTATGTCCCCTTTCCTCTGGCAGTCTGTCACCACATAGGACCCTCAGAGCAGCTGTGGATGGGTTACCTGCCTGTTCTCCCTCCCCTGGGCAGGAGCTGGGCTGCAGCATCCAGAACTCATCCCCAAACGCCCATGCTGGGCAACAAGGCTCAGACACCGCCTAGCATGGACTGCCATGGAGCCCTGTGGCTGCCAATCCGCATGCAGGAAGGAGGGAGAGAGACAAGGAGCATAGAACTGTCCTGCCCTCCACTTTCCAGGGCTGCCCCCCAACCTGCATAGCAGGTCACTTAAATTTGAAAGCTGGGTTTCTATGCTGCAGAGAGGAGGGAAGGCCGGCACCCTCCCCTAGGAAACTCACCTCCCTTGGCCTTCCCTTCCCCACACTGGCCATGAACCTGTGCTCGCCCCAAGTGACCATGCTCTGAACTGCTTCAGGGGCAGGATGGTTTGGGCAGGCACATGGCAAGGCCCGCAACTAGCCAGAGCCCCCTTGGAAACCCCAACTCAGGACAGCGAGGGGAAAGGAAATTCCCTATCACCCCAGCCTGCCCACATCCATGCTCTGAGACCCGGCATCCTCCCTGTGGGTGCTGCATCTTCACCTCCTTTCCATTCCTGACCGGATCTTCACTATCCTGGCCCATCAGGGGCTGTTACTACCCTAGTCCTGCCCCACACCTGGGTCTCTGCACCCATCAACCCCCTCACCTGATTCCCTTCTCCCCAGCAAGTAGGGGGCATATGAGTTCTCCTGGTGAGCAGGCTGTGGAACAGGTACAGTGGGCTGTGAGGACAAGGACAAGCCACACTGTGTTGGAGAGCAGAGTCCCTGAAAGGCCAGCTGAGGCCCATGTAAGGGTCATCCACCCCCTTACTACTGTTAATGATTTCATTAGATATCACATACCCATTGACCCCATCTCCTTGCCATGTACTGACAAATCAAAGCTAACTATGAGAATTCTATTCCTCTTGCCAGTCTGGTTAAGGCTCAGGCATGTGCTACAGCCCTTACCTGCGATGTGCAAGAGGATATCCAGGGGACAAGTCTCTGAGAAAGTTTTCCTGACTCAAAAAGGAATCCGTAAAAGAGTTTGCCTTCTCCTGCCATGGACGCTGTTGTGTGAGGATTTTACGTTTGGAACAGTGGCTGCCATCTTGTGACAACGAGGGAAAAACAAGAGTAGTGTAGAGTTGTGACATCGATGACACCCTGCCATCCTCGAAAGTGTGGCCTGCTCTCTTGTTATGTGACTTCAGACATGTTCTTATTGTGCTAACCACACTTAGCTGGATAGTCTTGCCAGGCATTTTTATTTTTATTTTGTTGCCAAAGCATTTTAACTGATGTTAAGATCACAGATTTGCAGGTGGCTGTAAACTGTGGAGCACAAGAGGTCAGGTCATCCCCAGGCAAAGAGAACTGCACATGCACAGAGCAGAGAGCATTTCTGGATGAAAGACTCAAAACTCAGAGGTAGCACCAGGGCCCTTAAAGTTGAAGCAAATCCTTTCACTTACAGATAAGGAAAAAGACCAGATCTCAAAGCAGCAGAGAACAGAAAGTATGGTAATCAGAGGGGAGGGAGGGTGGGTAACGGGTGTAGGGATGCAGCTGGCTGGGGGCTGAATGTCTTAGTGGGATAACCGTGGTTGACAACAATTAACAGAAAATTTCAAAACAGCTCAAAGGTCTTTTAATGTTTACAACACAGAGAAATGCCATGTCTTAGACAACAGATGATGTGCCAGCTACCCTCATGTGACCATGACACACTGCATGCATGTGCTGAATGTTAAACTGCACATACAAGTATCATGTGTCAATTAAATACATATATTAATGCAGTTTTTTAAAAATAGAAAAGATGAACAAGCCAGGAAATCTGGGCAAAGCCAGAAGTAAAGCTCTGGTGGCCCAACCCCCACCCCGCACGTGGATGTGGGAAGTGGGGAAGAGGGCACTGTACCCCCACCCCCTCCACACTCTCCACACCTACCACGCTGATGAGCTGGGCCAGGAACAGCTGCAGCGTGATGGAGATGAGCTGCGAGGAGCTGGTGGCCGGGCGGATGAGGTTGTTGTAGCGGGTTTTATTCAGCAGGTCGTCCATCAGCTTCTCCTCCACGTTGGCCAGGTGGCTGTCCCCTGAAAGTCACACAGGCAGATACTACGGCGGCGAAGGGGACAGCTGTGAGAACTGGGAGCATGGGTGCCCTCAGGGCACCTGAGGCAGCCAGGGTACAGCGGGCCAGCCTCTCCTTGGGGACCTCAGACTGGACAGATGCAAAAGAGTGCAGCACCCCTCCTGCCTTGTCCTTCTTCTGCTGCTGCTCCCCTGAAGGAGACCACTTTAAGATGGTGTTCAACAGGCCTTGGTTATATTCAATAGGCTTTGATACAACTGGCTTATACTTATAATTCAGAGCTGGTCTGAGACTTAAGTGCACAACTTAATGGCAGCAGCTGGCCACAGCCCAGACTAACCCGCTGTGGTGCTGATAACACCTGCAGCTGAAGACCCCATGATTCTTGCTCAACCTCTATAAAAAGTTACTATTAATCTAGGGGAAAGAACAAGTTCCCATTAACCTCTCATTAACGTGAGCTAGGCCTCTCTCACGTCAGCGCTTCTGGTCATCGCCCCACATACTTGACCGTATGCTTCCCCTGCTGCTTTGTGCTCAGCAAAATACTGGAAAGTCTTTGCCCACTAGAAACTCTGATCTCCCAGGCCTCATTTCTTTTACTACTTTTCTTCATTCTGCGTCATGTGCCTAATCAGAGGTCACCGATACTCCTCCCATGCCCAGATATCCAGTCCTAGACCCAGGCACCTCTTCCCCCTTTGGGTCACCCATTCTACCCCTAACTCTCTCCGTCTGTCTCCCTATCTCCACTCCCATGGCCAGACCCTAGCTCACCTCCCCTGCCCTTCCTCCATGGCCTCTGCTCTTCTCTACCCCCACTTCTGCCACCCATATGTCCTACAGTGCCAGGGTGGTGGTTTTCCCACAAACTGGATCACTATTCTTCCCTGTCCACAACCTTTTGGGGCTGAAGGCAGAATTAAAACCCAAATGTTTTAGTTTGGCACTCAAGGCCTTCTGCTCCTAGCACTGGCTTACCTTTATCTTCCCTTCCCACTATGGCCGTCACACTATACTGAGACCATACCTATGGCTTGCCTTCCTCCAGGTGACCTTTACTGTCTCACTTTTTGGTCTCTGAGCATGCCATTTCTCCTGCCTACCCGTTGCCAGGTATCTGAGTGACTTGCTTGTGTAGGCACTGTTCTATGTGCCAGAACTGTTCCTTCTCTTGGAGAGGACACAAGGTCCCTTTGAGACCCCACACGGGGTGGTTGAGGGGTGGTCCACTGGCTCCTGACCTGGAGCTTAGAGGAGAGTTTTGGACTCAGAGTCAAGACCTACAAGGAACCTGAGCCCCAGCCCTGCCACCTGACAGCCTCCATCTCCTGCCCACATCTCACTTTCCTCAGGTATCCGGGGGTAAATGTAAGGGTCAAGGCCTTGAGTTTGTGTTCGCCATGTCGGTGTAGTGTGGGCTGAGGCTTGGGAAAGGGGCCCTCAGAGGAGGTTAAGGACACATGAATAGGAAAAGAAGAGATGCGAGTGGGCAGAGAAAACCACGGGGCCAGGAGAGCAGGTAGGAGAAAGCTAAAGGGGGTGGGGACACTGGCCAGGGGCTGCCTGGCTCACCAGGCCCAAGGTTGGATTCCTTTCTTCCCTAGAGCTATTTACTGGTTTTATCAACCCCTCCTTTGTGAGTGGGACCCAGGGCCCAGGGTACCCCAGGGAGTGGGTCTGTGGTGGCTCCTAGGTGAGTGCTGAGCTGGACAAGTGGCCATGGGAGCAGCTGCCACCCTACACTTCCAACTCACTGACCATCCAGGGCAGATGCAATATTTAGAGCCTGGTGAAGATGCTCCCCACACACCTGCTTCCCAGTGTCCCTCCCCGACCTGCCCTAGGCTCTCCATGGGGTTCCTGAGGCTGCCTGGCCTGGATTCTGAGCACTACCTCCTGGCCGGCTGCTTGGATACCTGGGGGCCAGCCTGCAGCCAGCTGTATCTGGTCTCCTCTATAGCCCTGCATCAGTATCTCTACTTGGGCTGACCTCTGGTCCCCTAGAGAAGTCTGTGACCTCCTATGTATGCCTGGTTCATCCAGGGCAGCTCTGGATGTCAGAGGAGGCTGGGTCCACTGGGTTCCCCACAATCCAGGGTGCCCTGCAGGCTGTGGGGACTCATGACTAGCTCCAGGCCCCGCTGATGTATTTCTCTTGCCCTCCTTTGTCCCCTACCGTTAGACATCCAGCAGTCCCAAGGGACTCTGGCCAACTTAAGGACCAGCTGTGGGCTTCAGAGTTTGAGGTCATTTCCCCAACTTTTTATAACTCAGCTGAGGAAACTGAAACTTAAGAGAGAAGGAGCTTTTTTTTTAGGGCCCCCAGTAACTCAGCTGGCCAGGTCCAGGGGCCTCTTTCAGACAGAGGTCCTCCCTGCTCCTGTGACTTGCTCCACTCAGCCAATGCCATGGCAGGCACCTGTGTTTATTTGTGAATGGTAGGTGGGTGTCCACAGGTGGGAATGGCCAGCAGGGCTGCTGCTAGTGCTGGACCGTATGCCCCTTCCCCTCAGAAGCAGAGGAGGAGCCCCAAAACAGCAAGTATTCCAGCCTCCTAATTGGCAGCCTAAGGTCTGTGAGGCCTGCCAGGCTCAAAAGAACAAGGACGGGTCTTTCACCTTCCTCTGACACTGCAGGATGGCCCAGCAGGATGGCCCAGTATGGTAGAAACTCCAACTGAGAGTCTCTTCTCACTGCGGAGCTCAGGCTCCCTCAGTCAGGCAGAGAAGCTGCCACCAGGGGTCAGCCATGACCCAATGATTTAATTAGGAGTGGGTTTTAGCTAGGCCATTCCGCTTGGAGCCTTTTCGTGGAGAGAGGCTCCCTGGAGAAAAGGTTAACAATCTGACAAGCAGCCACCAGGGAATCCTGAACCATGTGTTCCTGATCTGAAAAATCACGTCCAAACCAAACACGCAACAACACATCCATGATTTGGAACAGGACTGCAGAAAGTAATCACTGGTCAGGGACACCTGGAAGGCAGGGCTGTGATGGGTGCTGTGTGTGAGGGCACAGGAGATTCCTGATTGCAAAACACAGGTGTGGATTTTTTTTAAGTTGAGAGCTTATCTTTGACAAGGAGCTCCCCATATCCCATCAATGCTTCTCATCCTAGGGATGAACACAGACTAGAGGTGTAAACACAGACACCAGACTCCATTTCCAGAGACTCTGATCCATGGATCTGAGTGGAGTCCTGGAACCTGCACGGTTGATGTGGGTTGCAGCCTCACCAGCCACACTTACCACACAGGGTCATAGCTGACAGGCACAGTGTACATCTCCACAGAACAGAGGGGAGATAGAGACCCACGGAGGGGGATGGCCAAGGCACAGGGCCCTCCAGCAAGTGGTGTCAGAGCCACACCTGCTCACCCTCCTCTGACACGTCTTTGAGGACAGGGCCACTTCCCAGTAGGAACTTCGCAGGTCTCCTGACCTCCCTGCCAGGGTCAGAGGCAGCTGGGTCCCTAAGCTGACCGGCCCAGCAACAAGCTTGGGCCAGGGCACAGGAGCTGATGGGATGACTGCGACCCGCAGGAGTCATCACCAGTGTGAAGGCTGGCTGCCCGCGGAGGGCCCAGCAGACCTCTCTCTCCGGGTGCCACTTGACCAGCCGGGCCCTCATCCACAGTGGCTGTTCAGGATTGGGGACCAGAGATGAGGGTGCCATATAACGTGTTTCTCGGTAGATCTCAACCCCAAAGTGCAATCCTCCAGCGCTGGCAGGGCAGGGCGGCCCTTTCCCTCCAGCAGTCTCCCCAGCGCAGAGCAGGGTGCTGGTGCGGATCTGACACGGGGCAGCTCTGCTCAGGACAGGGACGGGCTGGGTGTGCTCAGCCTCCAGGAAAGTCACCTCACGGGCCCCAAAGACGCCCCGAGGATGTCCCCCAACCTCGTAGCCCCCTCCTGATACGTCTCCCAAACTTCACCGACCCCCTCCCACCCATCCCCCAAATCTTACAGACCCCTGGGCCAGTCCCCCTAACCCCACAGATCCTTAGCCTGCCGCTGCAACCTCGCAGCCCCCATCCATCCCTCAAATATCGCAGACTCCGGGCCCGTTCCCGCAACCTCGCAGGTCCTCAGGCCCGTCTCCCCAGTCTTGCCCCCACTCGGACATTCGGCAAGGACACCCTATCTCCCGGAGCCCTAGCTCCCAGTCCAGGACTGCGCGGCCGACCCGACCCCCTCCTCCCCGGAAGGACTTACCGCGCCCGCACAGGGCGAGCAGGGAGATG